TTCATTTGACTCTCTCCAGGACAAGCAGTTGTCAGGAGAAAGTGATGTGGGATCATTGTTAGAAGCCAGTAACTGTAGTGTGATGCTCTAAGGAAGGCCTGTTTGTTCTAATCTACCTCACCTACAGACTGATCACATTTTCTTCCAAAAGGAACAGCAAATTGAAATAAAGAAAGGAAACAATTAGACTGGACATTACAAAAGAGGCTGAGTCACAGAGTAAACTTGCCACAGAAACTCCCCAGGGTGATAGGCATGACACCTGTATCTACAGATACTCTGGCACATGCAATCCTTGTCCACAACCAGGAGCAAAGAAGATGCAACAGGCAGACAAAGAACTCAGCAGGTAGTGGGACAACGTGGTGACAAAGAACTCAGGCTGGTGGGACATTGCATGTTATCCACGTTTCCTCAGCTTCACAGGGGCAAGACCTCAYAGCGACATAGGAGAAATAAATTATTACCATAGAGAGTCTTTCCTGCATGAGTGATATACACATACCCCTTTTCCTCCATAAAAGAAATATAATTATTCAGTTGTACCCAGAGATCACAGTTCATGGCCTGATTTACGAAGCGGGAATTTAGAGAAATCCAAAGAAAAAAAATGTAGCAACTTCAGAATGCTCAATACAGTGTAAATAGGGGAAATACTGAGGCATAGAATGATAGTGTCTGCAGGATTTATGGACAAGATGACACATAAAACATCAATGGCAAATGGAGACATTCCTGCCACCCTTATCCAGTGGCACCTCAGAACACAGCAAAGTGGGGGCCATGCTCCTCAGGCACAACACAAACCCTGGTGGAAGGCTTGGGCAGGGGAAGAAGCAAGCATAGACCAACAGGCTCCTCCTGTTACCATGCACTTTTCCTAATATTAGCAAAGGGATGCAATACACCRTCAGAAATGTGTAAGTTACGTGAAAATACTGTTAGGATGAAGAGATCAAGGATGAACTTCAAAAATCACACTGGCCCCATAAACTAGACTTGGATTTATTAAACAGCCTTGTCCTGACACAAGTGAAAACTCACTGACAAATCTCAATACTGGGCTTGGCTGCTCCTTCCAGCAAGAAGCAACATATTCAGATCAGTGCAAAAAGAACAAGGTCTGTACAAAGAGGCAATTATATTTGAATTAACCACTGCTACAGAGCTGGAACGGGCAGACAAGCTTTGGCCTCTGCTTGAATGCTTCAAGCTAATTGAAACAGGCAAAAAGAATTAATAAAGAGAAATTAAAAGAAAAAAAACAACCCCCCAAACAACAAAACAAGAAAAACAACAACGACAAGCACACATTTGACATGAGGCAAATACTCCCTGTGGCCCAATTTTAAAATCTTGCCTGAGGGCAGTGCTCTCCAAAGAAACCTCTGCTTCCTGCCCAGAAAGGAGAAGTTGCTCACACACACTTCTGTATCACACCAGGCCAAGTGCTTTAATAAAACAAGCCTGCAGCATCACAGATAAAGAGCCCARCTGCCACCTGCTCCCACTTTCCTCACACTCACAGCTGAGATGCTCACGCCATAACGAGGGAGAGCCTGGACCTTACCTGGTGGGACTGCAGGCCAATGATGGAGGAATACACCTGGATGGTGACAAAGATCTCWGGCTGGTAGATAATGTCTGAACCAGGGATACGAAAGGGTCTTAACAATCCCACCAAGCATCGGGAAAGGGCGTGAAACACTTCATCAAAAATTATCTCCCCCGTTGAGTCATCCTACAGAAACAGAGAAAGGGAACAGCTTTTTCATATTCTAGGACCTTCAATCTCCTTGCTGGTTGTCCCACTGCAGAGCCAACAGCAAACATCCTTCTGCAATGGCAGCTGGATTAAAATGACAACTCCTGTAAACACAAGTCACACACAGAGCATCCAGTGGAGAATCAGGGTTTGTCATTAAGGTCTTAGCCAGGGGCACATCATGGATCCCTCCTGAGAAAAGCAAGACTTCTGCCAAAGTTAAGACTGACATTGACAGCGATATGATACACCTTTTCTCATCAAATGAAAATGGGTTTCTGTTTTAATGCAGAGCACCCAGAGAGGCAGTTTCTGCACTCACCACAATCCCTGTGGAAGGGCTCAGATCAAGCTCAATCACAAATCGGTACTGGCGGGCCAGGAAGGTGACCCGTGTGGAGGGGACGAGGAGATAGGGCCTGGGCTGCACGGGCTCGTCTGGCTGCCACCCGTTAGGCAGGATGCTGAGAACATCGAGCTCATTTTCTGACTTCACCTGCCAGAACAAGCATCGGTACATGAAAGAACATGAAGGCACACCACAGGAAGGATCAGAGAAARGAGTCGGGCTCAAATGCTCTGCAGGGTGCAGGTGCTGCTGGGTGGTGCAGCAGCCGCGGTGACACCGTGCAGCCCTGGGCACCAACTCACCAGCTCGGGCTCGGGCACGGCCCTGATGACCTGGTGCAGGCGGCTGAGGACCCAGGCGAGCCGCACGTTGCGGGAGATGCGATAGTCCTTCTTCATCAGGAGGAACACGTGCCCTGCCTCCTCCACCTGCGGCRGGAGCACAGCGGCCCAGGTCACCCCCGGCAGAGCCCCGGACAGCGCCCGCGCCGCCGCTCACCCCGGGCTGCTCCGGCCCCGCAGGGCGAGCCCCACTGCACACCGTGTCCCCTGCGCCCGCCCCTCGCCCCAGCCCGGTGTGCTCCCTCGCCCCAGCCCGGTGTGCTCCCGCTCCCC